AAAATGTTGTCTTGACATCTATATGCTCAATCTTCAAGTCATTATTAGCCACTATTCCAAGTAAAGCCCGAATGGAACTATACTTCACAACTGGTGAGAACACATCATGAAGTCAACTCCTGGAATTTGACTGTAGCGCTTTGCTACCAATTTGACCTCATATCTTGCATCTTCAATCCCTGATATGCATTCCTTTTTTTTTTTTAACACCCACTTGCAGCGAACAACCTTTTTATCCCTAGGTAATTTCACCAAATCTCAAGTATTATTTTTATTAAATAACTTCATTTCCTCCTACATAGAAATCAATCATCTGCTAGAATCAAAGCAACTAATCGCCTCTAAATATGTAGCAGGCTCCTTAGTGGAATTAATACTATTAGCCACACTCAATGCACACGCTACCAATTCTGCTTATTCATACTTCCGTGGAGGTTTAATCTGTATACGAGGTCTATCATTAACATTTGAATAAAGTGGTGTTGCTAGTGGTGTACGCAAAGTATTACTATTTGTCAGCTTTGAACTAGGTTGATCTGTAGTAGACTGTTCTGAAACCTTGGATTGTTCCACTTGACTAATTTCCTGCTCCACCTGAATTGAATGATTATGTTCCTCAGTTTTATCAGAATACCCATGAGATGAACCATGAACCATAGTAAGTTCATCAAGTACTACATTTCTACTAACCACCACTTTTTTGTCTAGAACGCCACAATTTATACCCCCTCACACCTGATTTATATCCAAGAAAGATGCAATTTCTAGACCTAAGCACCAACTTCCCATTATCCACATGAGCATAAGCAGGACACCCCAAAATCTTCAAAAATAGAATAACAAGAAGTTTCACCGGCCATACCTCTTCTAGTGTCTATTTTTCAATGGCAGTTGGGGGTGAGCGATTAATCAAAAAATAAGTTATAGTAGCAACTTCAACCCAAAAGATCTTAGGAAACCCAAAATTTGCATACAATGAACATTTTCTATTAAAGTTATATTCATCCATCCTGCTACACCATTCTATTGAGGAGTTCCAAGCACGTCAAGTGTCTTAAGATGTCTTCAGCCCTACAAAAGCTATTTAATTTATCTGAACAAAACTCTAAGCCATTATTTGTATGTAGATGTTTCACGTGCTTCCTAGACTGCTTTTCTATCATTGTTTTCCACTCTTTGAAGTCCAAAACACTTCACTCTTCTGTTTTAAGAAAAATACCCAAACTTTCCTCGATAAGTCATCAATCACCGTCAATAAGTAATAAGCACCTCCTTTTGAAGGTACCCTGGCCAGTCCCCAAAGATCTAAGTGGATATACTCAAGTGTTCTCTTCATGTTGTGTCATCCTTTAGTAAATCTAACTGTTTTTTATTTCCCAAAGACATAATGCTCACAAAAATTCATCTTACTGGTCTTCTGATCATCAAGAAGTCCCCCTACTAAACTCTGTCATATCATTCTCACTCATATACCCGAGCCACATATACTAAAATTTTGTAATTTCTTCATCTGTCAAAGAAGAAATAAAAACTGCTGCATCCCTATTACTGTGAAACCCTGTAAAATGTACAATTGTGTAAAGCTTTATGTCTCTTCATGACAACAAGAGCACCCCGACTCACCTTCAAAACTCCACATTCACAGTGTGTCTATAACCCTTTGAGTCAAGTACACTCAAAGATATGAGATTTTGCTTAAGTTCTAGAACATGCTTTACATCTGTAAGTGTTCTAATAGCCCCATCGAACATTTTGATCCTGATTGTACCAACTCCGACAATTTTGCAAGGCGTTTTATTTCCCATAATCACTGTACCTCTCGAAACTCCTTCATATGAGGTAAACTAGTTCCAGTTGGAACGCATATGGAAAGTGCATGTCGAGTTAAGAACTCATTCCTCAAAAGGTTTGGAACCCTTGTCAGAAATCAAGAGAAGCTCTCATTCACTTTGCCCATATGCCACAACATCAGCGTCCCCTGTGCTTCCATGTTACTTTTCTTTATTAGTAGCACCAACAGACTTGTTTCTGTTTTTTAAAGTATAACAATCGGTTTTAATATGCCCCTTTCTTCTTACGAAAGTCACATGTTTTCTCTTCATGTTTGGATTTTGATCTACCCCTCATATTTCTACCAAAATTCCTATCTTAATTTCTCCCATGAACAACTGGCCTTCAGCTTGACTCTCAAATCATTCAAAAAGATGTCTCATCTTCTCCTTAAATAGTAAAGTATCATAAACCTCTTCCATAGTGAGAATATCCCGACAATAGAGAATAATATCTTTAAAAGTCACATATGATGGCGACAACGAACACTACAATATCAAAGACAAGTCCTCATCATCATACTTAACTTTCAACGTCTTTAAATCGACTATGATTTCTTTGAATATAGTTAAGTGATCATCCAATGACGCACCTTCAGACATTCGGTAAGAAAATGAGAGGTGTTTCAATTGTAACTTGCTGGTTAAGTTTTTTTGTCATACAAAGTTACTCTAACTTCAATTACAGCGTAGTGACACTTTTCTCCTTTAAAACATTTTGAAGAATTTGATTTGAAAGATGTAGACAAATTTGAGATTGGATTTTTCGATCCCTACGCTACTTTTCATCCTACGTCTAAGTTGAAGGCATCTTATCAAAGCCAAGAAAGACTTCCTCAAAACCCATGTGCGTAAGAACTGTTCACATCTTCATTTTCCATAGAGTAAATCTCGTGTTTTGATCCAATAATAGAATAACATATTCCATCGATGTGATGCAGAATATCAACATTGCTCTGATACCACTTTTTATGAATTGATCGCAAGATAATGACAATAATTAAATAAACAAGAATAAATAAGAACACCAAAATTTATGTGGAAACCCAAGATGGGAAAAGATCACAGGTAATGGAGGAGCATTTGACTATATCAATAATGAATGTGTTTACAATATCAAAATCTCAATACTCCCAATTGAAATCTAAGCTCTCTAACTCTCAAAATGTTATTGAATGTGTATGTGGAGATACAATAATGTGAAATATGTATATAGGAGCCTCTTTTTTGAGTTTTAGATGAAGAAGAAAACATAAAATTCAAAAAAAAAAAAAAAAGGGAATAAACCCGTCACGGGCGCCTTGGCACCACCAAGCCAACTCCTCGAGGCCTGGCCCGGCGCTGCGACGCCAGGCTTTCTGTTTCCCCTTCTTTCACATATGCGATCATGATTTCAAGGTATTTTTCATCTCAAAGTCATTTTTCAAGTAAAACTCCCAATTTTTGATGAAATTTGATCTTTATTAATTAGGGGTCCCAAAATCAAAACTCTTTAGACTTCTTTTATTCAACAAAATACTAAATTACATGGAATTTGAGTCACATCACAACAGTTATAAATTAAATTAAAAATATATGTTAAGTATTTTTTTTTTTTGTCCATTTTTGTTTTTTAAGTAACATAGTCAAATTTGTGATATTACAAAGTTTCTATTTCTTTTGTCCTTGTTTCTTATGTCATTTAAATATAAAAATAATAATTAACTTATAAGAGCTCGAGTTAAAAGGATTAGTAATCAAGCAACTCAGTATCTCAATTCTCAAATCCATATACATTGATTACTACTTTTCATTCATTAGATAGTCATTCTATTCAACATAGGGATACTAATGGAGCGAGAAATTCAGTCCGAGTCAAAAGAGGACATGGATTTTCCACTTAATTGGGTCTACGAGAAGGGTACGCATCGAGGGGTCACGCCCACAAATAACTTTTTTTTTTCAACTTTATATAATTTAATTAAAAAATATATTTTTATTAATTAAATTAGAAAACGTACTAATAAGCTTAAATATTATGTAATGATCCGACCTCTATACTCCAAGTTGTTATATTATACGTACTGTCCGCTTTGGGTGGACATCTGCCCACTTAACCCCTTACGAATTTCTAGCGCGTCTTCCGATATTCGAGCTAAAGATATCTACTTAATGAGAAATTTAAGTTGAATCTTGATACCATTTGAGATGACATCCCAAAATTTTATAAAATAAGATTATGTGGTGAAATAAGTATTAAATTCCGGGCCAATTTTGATCTTGATGCATTAAATTCAATTTTAAAAAGTTGATGGACTAAAGTGAAATAAGTATTAAATTCAATTTTATTTGGGTCAAATAATTATGTATTGATAGAATCTATTTACTATATTAAAGGAGCATAGTTTACCGCCCATTTGCTTCAACAGTTTTCCCGCCGTCTACTGCCGCATGAGTACATACACAATGACAAAACAAGGTTTTTAATATTAT